ACTGTCCTGTGCGGCCAGACAGTGTCCGAGTATTCCGAAGTCGCCCCCCTTCACAGTGAGCTTTCCTTCTTGTCCTGTTTGCCACTTGGACTCCATGCACAAGGAGAGGCTGGCTTCTCCCCTCTGGAGCTTCAGTGCGTTTAACAGAGGCCACATAGTGCACGCGTTGGCCTGCCTGCGCATGGTGCTCATTGCTAACAATCATCCAACCTGTGGGGCTCCGTCTGTGTGCAGGAATGAGCTAGGACCTCACGTGCTTTATCTCGTGTATCCTCATGTAACCCCTGAGGCACCAATTATCATCATCTCCATTTGTAAAAGTAGGTGACTTGCTCAGGGTCTTGCAACCAGGAAGTGGCGGGGTGGGGATTTGAACCTCCATCCGCCTGCCTCGGAGTCCGGCTCTCATCACTGTACTGTTTCACCTCCATAAATGGCATTAATGTGCTTTAATGCAAGGCAGATCCAGCTGGGGAAAAGTGTACTGTGGGTCGGCTGCTGCCTGTCTCCCCTGTGGAACACGCCAGCAGCGTGCAGGTGAGTTTCAGGGGTGACAGCACAGAGCCTGAGAGGAAGGGAAGGCCCGTGCCCAGGTGGTGCAGCCGGAAGGGAGGACCGGGGAGTGAACGGAAGTGCAGGAGCCAACCGAACCCAGATGTGCAAGTTAGGGAAAACCAGTCGGCAGCAGGTGAGCTCACCAGGCTGCAGGGAGAGGCTTGCGAGCTGTGTGTAGCCAGAGGCACAGAGAGGGTGGCCCCTGGGAGTGGCCGTGCAGCCCTCCCGGGCCCCAGAAGAAGCTGTTTACTTCCAAGAGATTCGGCATTTGAGGCATTTGCTGCATGGTGATGGGAGAGCCGATGAGACTGGAGTGATGGTGGTGTGTCCTCAGTCCCCAGTGGGACCTGGCCATGTTAGTTCCGGTGCAGCCCAGCACAAGGCTGAGAGTCTGGTCCCCGCCTCCGGGCCGGCACAGGTGAGGAGTTGAGGCAAGAATGACTGCATCATTTATGAGGCCCGTTTGCAAAAGGAAATGTGAGACTCATGGTTTTAAAACTTACTAAGGGCCGGCGCCGCCATAGCTCAATAGGCTAATCCTCCACCTGCGGCGCCGGCACACCGGGTTCTAGTCCCGGTCGGGGCGCCGGATTCTGTCCCGGTTGCCCCTCTTCCAGGCCAGCTCTCTGCTGTGGCCCGGGAAGGCAGTGGAGGATGGCCCAAGTCGTCGGGCCGTGCACCCACATGGGAGACCAGGAGAAGCACCTGGCTCCTGGCTTCGGATCAGCGCGGTGCGCCAGCCGTAGCGGCCATTGGGGGGGGGGGGGTGAACCAACGGAAAAAAGGAAGACCTTTCTCTCTGTCTGTGTCTCTCTCTCTCTCTCATTGTCCACTCTGCCTGTCAAAAAAATAAAAATAAAAAAAACTTACTAAGAATTTCCAAACAGTGACCACAGCGGCCTTTCGAGAGCGGGCCCTTGTGCAGCTGTGCGGGTCACACGCCCGTGAGGCTCGCCTGATGAAATGCGGGAGCCCCCTCTTTTGGGTGGCCACTTGTGTCCCCATGCAGGGAAGGAAGTTGCCCCAAGCAAGAGAGAAGCTGCTGAGTTGGTCTTTGGTACTTGGGTAGAGTGTAAAAGATGGAAAATATGCATGTTTTTATTTGAGAGGCAGAGAGAGAGAGAGAGAGAGAGAGAGAGCGAGCTGCCATCCACTGGTTCACTTCCCAGATGCCTGCGATGGCCAGGGCTGTCCTCGGGCTAAGCTCAGAGCTCAGAATGCAAATGCAGGTCTCCCACCAGCCTCCAGGGTCTGCACTGGCTGGAGGCAGGAGCCAGAGCCAGTTGTGAATTCAGGTGCTCTGCTGCTTGGCAAAACCGTTAGCACCACTGGGAGGAATTTTAATGGGGACATGCAAGCAGGCAGATGCGCGTGAACAAATGCTGGCTCTCCCAGCGGCATCCAGAGGCGCGGGAGCATCTGCACGGCTTTCCTGGTTTTCAGAGCCCATCCCATCCACACGCTCACACACAGCTCCGAGCAGCTCGGACACGTCTAGAATTCCGCCTTTCCCACTCGGCACAGCATAGCCCTTTGCCATCCTCTGTCAGCCTCGTTCTATGGACTTCTGTGAAAGCCCTGGTGCTTACCCAGCCCGCCCCGGCTTTGGGCCTGAGCAGCCGTGAACGCCCGACAGTCGTCACATCCCCTTAAACATAACCCTTCTGGAGCCTCGGGAGCCAGCGGGGGTCGCGCTCGGCGCTGGCTTCTGCAGGGCCGTTCCGTGGGGGCTGACACGGAGCAGGTGTGTCACATCTGTGCTGGCACACTCCCTTCCTCCCGTGCATCGGAGCGGCAAGTGCTGAGAAAGCCAGCTCCACGTGTATCCCGCCTAAGAGGAGAAACCAGGATGCACCTGTGCAGCGTCTGCTCTGGGCTCCGGGGCCTGCAGCTGCTTGGGGGGAGGAGGGGTGTTTGCTGCTCCTGTGACGTTCTTGTGACCAGAGTAATAAGCATTCCAGCTTAGAGATGCTGCCCCGGCCGTTCCCCCAGGGAGGTGGGCCACGGAGGGGCCCCGTGATTACGATGAGCAAGTGGTGATGGCCACTGCTCCTGACTGCTGCCAGAATTCTTTTTGGTTCCTGTCGCTAGACCCAGGCAGGAGGTGTCTGTGGCCTGCTTTCTGGACCCCACGGCACCCTGCTCAGGCTGATAGCTGGTGCTGCCTCCTGTGGGGCCAATCCCTCGACCACCCTGGGTCCCTAGAGTTCTTTGGCAACTGACCCAGAGCAGGGCCTACGCAAACAAGCCCAGATCTTTTGTGCTGGGGGACCACACCACCAGGCCGTGCACACAGCCCCCCAGGCAGCGTTCTGCAGAGGGTGGGCGGAGCACAGGCCTGCAGGCTGCAGGATAAAGGCAGGGTGCAAGCAGGGGCTGGCGCGGGACAGCGAGGAGCCCCAGCGTTCTAAAATCAAGCCTGGCCCTCTTCTTGGTCATTACGAAGATGGATTTGTCCGAGGCGAAGGACAGAATATATTCCATGTGATTTCGTTGGCTTGCTCTGTAACTCTTAAATACTTAGAGGTTTGCCCGTTAGCCTGTTTCTGCTCCTACCCTGGATCCTACAACTCCAGGCAGTCCCGGCTCCTTTGTCGCCTGTGCTGTTTGTTTGCAGGTTCCCCATCTTCCCGAGGCTGCAGATGTACCAGGGGGATGCAAAGGAAAATGATCTAGAACCACAGAAAAATAAAGCAACTGAGTGTGTAAAATCCCAATATGCCAGACACCCCCGGGTGCACGTGCACAAGCCAGAAATGCGTTTCAGGATAAAAGCGAGTACAACCACCTGCTATGAGAATGCGTCAGCCTGGCACCCTCTAGCAGAATCAGAAATAGGAGCCAGCGAGTAAAGCTACAATCTGCCCGGCGCGCTCCCCTTCCCTCTGTCTCTCGGCCGCCTCCAGCCTGCTTCCCACAGTTGTATCCCGGAGCTACCTCCCTCTGTTGGTTGCTTTAAGCTTTGCAAGAAATCAGACCTCAGTTTGATCCCTCAGGTATCAGCTTTGGAAGAACCTCCATTTGTTACCACGCCTATGCCAGTCCCTCTTTTCTCAGTGGGAAGCCCTCCCTGCAAACGACTTTCAGTCATCTTATGTATATTGATGACATCATCAAATGTCTTAGAGGGGAGATATGCTCGCTGGGTGGAAAAGTCAAGATCACCGGCTTTTTCATTGTAAGCACCGTTAGGCTCTGTCCAGTGCCTGTGCTTGGGCAGTGCTAATATTGGGAGTCACCTATGAAATAAAAAGTCAAGATGGGGATCTTTAATCCAGATTTAATCATTATTCTCATATTATTACTATACAACTTATAGTTGCAAGAGAGACTTTTTAATGATTTCTTTGTAACAGAATAATATCTGGTGGAGATTGCTATGGGATCATTTTTCAATAATAAATCACACATGCATCTAATAAATTACTCTGTCTCAAACAAGCTGGAAGTGAAGATAATATGCTTGATATTGAAGATGCATACAAAAAATCTGAATAAAATTGCTCCATGGGGCCTGTGCTGTGGTGTAGCGGGTAAAGCCGCCTCCTGCAGTGCCAGCATCCCATATGGGTGCTGGTTCAAGACCTGGCTGCTCCATTTCCAATCCAGCTCTCTACTATGGCCTGGGAAAGCAGTAGAGGATGGCCCAAGTCCTTGGGTCCCTGTACCTGCATGGGAGACTGGGAAGAAGCTCCTGGCTCCTGGCTTAAGATCAGCACAGCTCTGGCTGCTGTGGCCATTTGGGGGAGTGAACCAGTGGATGGAAGACCTCTCGCTCTCTCTCTCTGCCTCTGCCTCTCTTTAACTCTGCCTTTCAAATAAATAAATGTCCTTAAAAATTACTCCATATATTTGAGACAATAAAATAATATATCCAATTTAATATTGTATGCATTATGGTTAACTGTGTATAGCTAAGACATTTGATTATGCCATCCATATCATTATTTTCTTTTTAAAAAAGATTTATTTATTTGAAAGGCAGAGTTAGAGAGAGAGGTCTTCCATCCACTGGTTCACTCCCCAGATGGCCACATCTGCCAGGGTTGGACCAGGCCAAGCCGAGTCCAGAGCTTATATCCTGTTATTTCCACACTGTGTATAGACATTTGATGATGTCACCAATATACATAAGATGACTGAAAGTCGTTTGCAGGGAGGGCTTCCCACTGAGAAAAGAGGGACTGGCTTAGGCGTGGTAACAAATGGAGGTTTTTCCAAAGCTGAGACCCAAGATGAGAAAGGAGAGGTTTGTGTGGGGGACCCCACTGTCACGGTGCCCCCCTCACCTCCGTCCAGCCCCACATGGCTGCCCAGACATGGCTGGGTTCGTCCTCCCAGCCTCTCGCGAAGTGGCCTCTGCCCTGTCTCTGTGTGTCATCATGTCGGCGACTTTAGCGGCTGCAGGCAGAGCTGTGACCAATGCCTCTTCTCCCCTCCTGCAGGCGGCGCTCGTGGGAGGCACCACCATGGTCATGGGCCACGTCCTGCCTGACAAGGAGACCTCCCTTGTGGATGCCTATGAGAAGTGCCGGGCCCTGGCCGACCCCAAGGTCTGCTGCGACTACGCCCTCCACGTGGGGATCACCTGGTGGGCGCCCAAGGTAACAGTCCGCGGCATCCACAAGGAGGCCTCAGTGGCCTTGAAAACAGGGGCCTTTGGGCTGAGCCAGCGGGGGTCTCCGGCTCTCCACCACCAGCCTGACTCCCCCAGATGCCAAAGGAATAAACATTTAGGATTCCAGAGGGGTCTGTCGTGCTTAACTTAGAGAGCCCGTTCTGCAGGCACCGCGCCAAACGGAGACAGAGGCCAGTTCTGCAGCCCGCTGGCTCCTTGCTCTGACCACCAGCTCTTAGCGCCTCCTGATGGTCACACCAGGTTCCACCAGCACCCAGTGGGGAGCACTGCCCCCTAGTGGCCGAGCAGGGCTCAGACACTGCGCAGGATCAGATCACCTTTGCACCGGGAGTCCACCATGCTGAGCCACAGCGCCACCCCCTTTAAATTCTGCATAGTAATTCTTTTTCTGCTTGCAGATTTCAAAAACAGACAAGAAAAGAAGCTCAAACCCCAACAACCCCCACTGGGTTTGCTTCTTTGTTCCCGGCCTGCTCCACCCTTGCCTTTTCCACTGTGACTGTGGCTTGGATGTGAGCTCCACCTGGCTCAGGGTCCTCCATGACCATCCAGGTCCTGGCCGCCCACGGCTGTCAGCCAATGACCCTCAAGTTGCTTTCCCCTGTAGACCGGCGGTCCTCCCGTTTCCCCCTAACATAAACAACCTTGGGGTGCATCCCGCTGTGTGCAAGTAGACTACGCATGCTTTTGCTGTGTTCCTGGGTTCACTTTCCCCTGGGTCTCTGCGTTCTTGGCATTGGTGTCTTTGTGCCATTCTGCTCCTGTCCTGGGGGATGGGGGAAAGGCCAGTGGGAAGAAAAGTCGCTGCATTTACCTAGAAGGTTGGTTTGGAGGTAGAAACACAGGACAAGGGTGTATAACAGGGAAGCATGGCCGTCACTTTGCGAGAGCTCCCACGACTGCGTCGTGCCTGGCCGTTGTCAGTCATCTTCGTGCATTTGCTCGCAGCAACTGCAGGAGTGGGAACGAGGGAGACACCGTGAGGGGTGGGTGGGCCTAGACCGAGCTGGGTGGGCCCCACGGCTCCTCTGTGTGGGCCACGCTGCCTGCCGGTCAGCCTCTGGAACGTCCGACCTCACGTGGTGTCGCCTTTGCCTCCCGCGCTCCAGGTGAAAGCAGAAATGGAGACCCTGGTGCGAGAGAAGGGCGTCAACTCCTTCCAGATGTTCATGACCTACAAAGACTTGTACATGCTCCGGGACAGCGAGCTGTACCAAGTGCTGCACGCGTGCAAGGACATTGGGGCCATTGCCCGGGTCCACGCGGAAAACGGGGAGCTGGTGGCCGAGGCAAGTCTCTGCGGTAGAGGGTGTCGGATGGGGGCACCAGTGGAGACGGTTCTCAGGGCGGGTTCCTGGCCCTCTCCCCCTCCCCCGCCACTGATCCAACAGGGCTCAGACAAAATAAGTGGTAAAATGAAGTGTGAGATGCAAACACCCCCAGTGACAAATCTCAGTCAGAACATGCAAGCTCTCCCACTGTCCTGAAAAAGCAAGGTCTCTTTCAAGCACAAACACTTTCTCGGGTCTCCGAGGATGGTGCCCGGTGTGACATTTAAATTCCACTACGGCCGCTGAATTTGCAGTAGTTCTTAGCAGTCTTTCTAATGAGTTTTGACACACAGAATAAATATCAGGATCAGCGTGTCATGTCCAGTAGCTGTGCAGAGGAGCTGAGAAGTCACCAGGGATCCATGCACGGGTCCCAAGACAGCTGAACCTTTTGTGCACCTGGGTCTTGGGTGCTGGTCTGGCAGCCGCTAGGAGCTACAGATTTGTCCACATTTCCCGACTCTGAGGCCAATACCGAGTGCTTGTCTTTGGCGTCCCGGATCTGTTGGCTGATCACTGAGCTGCATTTTAAGAGAAGAAGATATGTTCGGTCACATAGAAGAATCGGGAGACCCTCAGTGCCTGGGGTGTCCCGTGTTTATTCTGCGCTCCGTAGGAGCCGAGCCTTGCGGAAGTGAGGACGTGGCAAGCGGCTGAAGCGGGCTCGGTAGCTCCTCTTCTCTGCACTTCTCTCAATTCTCTTTCTCGTGCTGTTACTCAGGGTGCTAAGGAGGCCCTGGATCTGGGGATTACAGGCCCAGAAGGCATCGAGATCAGCCGTCCGGAGGAGGTAAGAAAGGCCCTGTGTCCCTTACCAACTTCTGTCTCCAGATTTTTTAAAAAAGATTTATTTATTTTATTTGAAAGACAGAGTTACTAGAGAGAGAGAGAGAGAGAGATCTTCCATCTGCTAGTTCACTCCCCAAATGGCTGTGATGGCTGGAGCTGGGCCAGTCTGAAGCCAAAAACCAAGAGCTTCTGGGTCTCCCACGTGCGTGCAGGGGCCCAAGCACTTGGGCCCTCCTCCACTGCTTTTCTAGGAGCATTAGCAGGGAGCTGGATCAGAAGTGGAGCAGCCGGGACATAACTGGCGCCCATATGATGCCAGTGCGGCTTAACCCTACGGTGCAGCGCTGGCCCTTGTCATGCAGATTTACAGACACTTTTAAAAGAGACGTCCAGGATGTAAGCTTCCTCCATGCCGAGGACAACTTGACCTTGAGCTTGCTTGAAAGAGATAGCAAGGGGGAACTATACCGGCTCTACTTGATTCTTTTTTTTTTTTTTTTTTTTTTAAGGCAGAGTTAGAGAGAGAGAGAGACAGAGACAGAGACTGAGAGAAAGGTCTTCCTTCCATTGGTTCACCCCTCAATGGCCGCTATGGCTGGCGCACTGTGCCAATCAGAAGCCAGGAGCCAGGTGCTTCCTCCTGGTCTCCCATGCAGGTGCAGGAACCCAAGCACTTGGGCCATCCTCCACTGCCTTCCCGGGCCACAGCAGAGAGCTGGGCTGGAAGAGGGGCAACTGGGACAGAACCGGCGCCCCAACCGGGGCTAGAACCCGGAGTGCCAGCACCGCAGGCAGAGGATTAGCCTAGTGGGCCGGCCGGCTCCACTTGGTTCTGATTTCAAAGATCTGGGGGAGACAAGATCAGCAACCAGTGATTGCTTAGCCCAAAACCTAGCTGGAAGACGAAGGACAGAGAGTGGGCCTTCGGATACCAGCGCCCATCCCCAGCTCTGAGCCAGGGACTCAGCACTCTGGGGTGAGTCCCTGTGAGCACCTGTGGAATACTTCCGACCCTTCCCACCGAGACAAGAGGCGCATCTATGCCCCCGCTCTGGCCCCCTCGAAGTCTAAAATGCACAGCGATGGCTGGATGCCCCTGAGGCATGGAGGGGCCGCCTTGAGGGGCCAGGGGCCGGGGCCCGGGTGTGTGGTGCAAGCCTCACAGCGGCACCGTCACCTTCCTCCTGCCAGGGGTCTACCCTTGCCTTTCATAGAGCCCTTGGCCACAGGTCCTGCTCGGGGCCCTCGGAATTGGTCAAGAAAGACACGGTGGATTCATCGCCACAAACCCACGAGGGTGTCCCCGGGCGAACAGGGCCAAGCTGGGCTGGAGTGGACGCAGGACGCGGTCTCCTTGTGAAGTCACATGAAGGAGAGAGGGCACAGTCCCGGCCGCACGTGTCGGTGAAGTGCGAGGTTTTTTGTCTATGGCAGGCCAGGTTTTGCTCTCCAGGGGGCAATGGGCAGTGCTGAGAGATAGTTTGGGTTGTTCCAGTGGGAGGGGGAGGGGTTGGGAGCTATGCAGGTGCAGGGCTGAGTTCAGGCACGCTGCCCGACATCCTGTATTGCACAGACAGCCGCTCCCACGGGGAGCTCCCAGAGCCCCTCCCACCCAGAGCTAGCCAAGCCCTCTGCCCACCAGGAGCTACCTGAGCCCACACCCCGCCCCAGGATCTCTCAGGCTAACAGGGTCAGAAGTGCCAGGTGCAGAGGGGGCCTGCTCCAGGCTGAATTCAGTCATTATTACTCCTGTACTGCATTGCCGGGGAGGCTGCAGAGAGAATGGACAAGACGTGCCTCAGGTTTTCATCAGCTTAATTTTGTTGCCTTTGCTGAACTCTGTTAGAGTCCCGTGAGGATGTCCCAGTGTTCTGAGTCCTAGGATTCTCCCTCCGTGGGAGCCCCAGGGGGTGAAGCTTGGTGATCCTGCCTAGCCCTTGCCCCCGAGGCAGCCCCCGTGGGCCCAGACGGCTCCTCCTGCTCTTGTCAGACGTCCCGGCACTTTCTATGCCGCGCGCTCTCGGCTGGGGTGGGCAGGCCAGGAGCGGATGGTGACACTTGGTTTCTCCATGTCCTCTATGCTGACAGCTGGAAGCGGAAGCTGCTCACCGTGTCATCACCATCGCCAACAGGGTAAGTGGCCCGATCACCACGGTATCCGAAACCAGCCTCGCGGTGCACCCTCCCGCGCTGGGGGCCACTCCGCGCCTGGCTCCCGGGACCCCGGCCCCGACGGCTGGGCCAGTGCCGTCGACCCCCGCCCGGCTCTCCAGCCCGCCAGGCTGCGCTTGCTGGAACCTCAGCTTGTTGCTCAGGGGCAGATGGCTCCCGAGGGGCGCAGGAAAGGTGTGGGGGCGCCGCAGAGCCTCCCCCAGCTGGAATCTCTTTCTTTCAGAGATGTAGGTAGTTTTGTCTTCCAGAGCCATCACTGCAAACTATGCCTCCGGGCCACTTTCTCACGCTATTTCCGGGGTGTGGTTCAGGGTGATGCAGTGTTGATGGGAGGAGTTGGGGAGAGATGTGGCTCCAGGATTCTAGCTTTGGCCTGTGCCAAATATAACCCTGGCATCACAGAGCACTGGGACGAGAGCATTGGTAGCTTTCCGCCGTGCCGTGGGCGGGGAGCACGTTATAAGTGTGGAGCCCTTAGACAGGTAGTTTCTCCTAGGCCACCCCTAAAGGGTTCCGTTCTCACATCCTCTGAGCGAGATTGCTGGTTTCCATAGTGTGGTCCCCAGACCAGCAGCCTCAGCCTCACTTCTTGGAAAGAGGAACTTTGAAACGCAAATTCCCAGGCTGCAGGCCGACTGAGACAGAAACTGGAGTGGGAAGCCCAGCTGTCTGTGTCGGGATCATTGGCGCCATGACCTTAATGGGCTCTCTCTGGGAACCTCCCTGCTGAGACAGCCTGGGCTCCCCACCAGGATGCAGGCAGGAGGGAAGGTGCACGGAGAAGTTACAGGGACACAGAGAGGCAGCAGGTGCAGCCAGTCGCAGAATCAGAACGTCCGCTGTGCCAATCACATCACCCTCAGGCCAGTTCCTCCTCCTCTGAAAATCAAGGAGTAAGGAACAGGTTCCCGTTAGCTCGTGGGCAGCCAGCAGTGGCGGTGTGTGGTCGTCATGACAACAGTCATTTCATCCATTCTTTCCCGATGGAAACGTCACGGACAGTAAGGAAAGGCATGGGCAGCTTTGGTTTTCGGCTCAAGCTTGGGCCCAGAGAAGTTAAGCCAGGGACCACGTCACCCAGCTTTAGCGGAGGAAGAGTTAATCCTAGGACAGTCCAGGTGTCGTCTGGCCGAGACACTGAGCGTAGGCCCCCGGCATGTTCTTCTCCAGGGTACCTTCTGTCCGCCGGTAGAGCAGCCTCGAGGTGGCAGAACTCGTAATTTTAGACATGGAAACTAATCCCCACTGTCTCAGGCCATCACGGTTATGAACGGGAAAATTACAGTGGTCGTGGTTGTCGGATGGGAGAGAACGTGAGGTGCAGGCAGTCCCGCCACGGGGCTGCCTCGTGGGTGGGCTCCCCCGGCCCGCCCCGGGGGTGGGGGGCTCTGGTGCTGGCTGCTGCCGGCCACCCTCACTTCATTCAGTCCTTGGCCTGCGCTTGCGCTCTGGCTGCCAGCCCTGTGTCCCCTGGGGCGGGAGCAGGATCATGTGGCCGGGTGATTGGGTGCTTGCCAAGTGCATGGGCTGCTGCCCCCCCACTTCCCACTCTTCCTTGTGTTTAGACTCATTGTCCGATCTACCTGGTCAACGTGTCCAGCATCTCGGCTGGTGACGTTATCGCAGCTGCTAAGATGCAAGGTGAGTCCTTGGGCTTGGACGGACAGGGCTCGGCTATGAGGTGGGGTTCGAGAATGCCGGGGGCCCCCCCCCCGGCTCCGAGCACGCCCAGGGCCAGCACCTGCCCCTCTCTCCTCAGCCCTGCCCTGCACTCACCTGGCTCAGTCCTTTGCAATCAGAGTGTTTTCCTCTGCACGCCTGCATGCGTAGCAGCTTTCTGGGGAGACTGGCACCACCATCGGGCCTGGGAACATCTCTCTCGGGTTTCACTAGCGGTTGCCTTGGCATCCAGCATGAAATCCTGGACGGGTTCCAGTGCACGTTTCCGGGGTGGATGGTGGTCTGGGAAGTCCCTGGGGGACATGCCAGCCAGTGGGCCCAGCTTCTCTTACATCCCACTGGCCGCTGGGGGGCGCCGGTGCTGCACCTGGGGCTGACACCTGCGGTCCCGCTGGCCGTGCTGTGGCTTAGCGCAGCAAAGTGGCAGTCACGGCCCTGGGCTGCAACTCAGAGGCAAGGGCATGGCAGCCTCCCCACTGGTCGCGCTTTAGACGGCAACCCCTCCACTCGACCCCCAATAGAAGCCCTGTGGGGTCTCTCCTGGACTGCTGTGGCTCCTCTGCCCTGACCCCCCCACCCCACCAGCACCCTGAACCCTGGCCCTGCTACAGTGCCCGCCCCCCGCGACTGTCCTGAAGCTGCTGCAGTGCCCGCTTGCCCAGGCTGCTCCTTGGTGTGGCCTTGGCAGCCCTGCTTGCTCCCACCCCGCTGTCCAGCCTCGTGTCCCACGGCTCCCTGCACACACTGATGCTTCAGCCCAGCCAGACCCCTCCAAGCAGCCCTGGGGCTGCCCAGCCCGAGGGTCCACAGCCTCCTGTTCCCCTTGCCAGGAGTCCACAGGAAAACAGGGCCATCTGGGGGCTGGACCCCAGCTGGCTTCTCAGCCGTCCGCCAGCCTGGACAGGGCCCCACTGTCTCCCACTTCCACCCCTACACCTGTAAAACAGGAGGCTCAGATCCGTGGTCTCTCGGGTTCCGTGGCCCCGTGGTTATGGTTGGGACCCTTCTTCCTCCAGGGAAGGTTGTGCTGGCCGAGACCACCACCGCCCACGCCACGCTGACCGGCCTGCACTACTACCACCAGGACTGGGCCCACGCGGCCGCCTACGTCACGGTGCCTCCCCTGAGGCTGGACACCAACACCTCCACCTACCTCATGAGCCTGCTGGCCAAGTAAGACATCTCAGCGGGGGCCTGCCCCGCGATGCCGCCTGGGGACTCGGTGGGTGTTCCGGAAGCAGATGTGACCGGGGCGGGGCTCCCTGTGCCTGCAGGGTGGCATTTGCTCTCGTTACCTTCTCGGGTCCCAGCAGATGATGGCCATGCTGTGAGGCCTCTCTGGCCACATGGTTTGGAGTGAGAGTTTCCGAGTCCAAGACATACTTAAGCCTGCGACGGTAGTTTCTGCAAGCTGCCAGCACTGGACTCAGGCTGCAGCCCAGCGGGGAGCTGTCGGGCGTGGCCTCTGACACCATGGAGCACACTCGCCCCTGCCTGTGTCTCTCTGTCCTGTGTGCACGGCCCCTCTGTGCGCTCCTCTTCCTTCCTCATTCCCTCTTGCTTCTGCACTTTCTTCCTTTAAAGATTTATTTATGTATTTGAAAGGCAGAGCCACAGAGAGGCAGAGACAAAAAGGTCTCCCAATCTGCTGGTTCATTCCCCAAATGGCCACAACGGCCAGAGCTATGCTTATCCGAAGCCAGGAGCCAGGAGCTTCTTCCGGGTCTTCCACGCAGGTGCAGGGGCCCAAGGACTTGGGACATCTTCTACTGCTCTCCCAGGCCGCAGCAGAGGGCTAGATCGGAAGTGGAGCAGCCAGGACTCGAACCTGCTGCCCACGCATAAGGGATGCTGGCGTCGCAGGTGGAGGCTTAGCCTACTACACCGCAGCGCCGGCCCCTTCTGCACTTTCTCCCTCTTTCCACCCACACCCTCCCTCCAGATCTCTATTCCCCTCTTTCCAGCGCTGCTTTTTCCTAAGCTGGAGAAAGCGTCTGACTTGGGTGGGGTGCAGCCGCGAGGTGTGGCTTCACCCCAGTACCTGCCGGCAGCTTCTTTCTGCCTCTAGTGACATTTCTGGGGTGTGGCCCTTGCTTTCTTGGCTTCTGGATATTAAAGTCCCACCAGTTGGAAAGCTGCTCTCCCGCCCACCCCACCCCCTGCCCTGCGGGCGAATTCTTATCCACACCCAGCTCCCAGCACTGGCAGTGTCCATGAGCAAGGACCCTGGCAAGGCAGCCAGGCCCCAGAGGAAGCACCCACAGCTCTGCCATCCCCAGGCAGGCGCCCTCGGCTGTCACCTCCATTCTCCACACGGGAACCTATTGAACTCTCCCCCTGCTAGGCTTTGGGGACAGGGTGTGGAAGCACCGCTCAGCTCCAGCAGGGGGAGATGCAGACCAACAGACCAGCATGTGGGAGCCTCGGCAGGGCCCCTCTCTGCCCCATCTCCTACTTCCAGGGGGCTGAGGGCTGACACGCCCCCTTTGGGGGGAATGTGGGGAGGTGGCAGGAAGTGACCGGCCCCACGGAGGGTGGCTCTCTTGAGCTGACGGGGCACTTATTTCATCCCTGTCCTTAGTTTTTAGTCATCCTGGTCTGGTAAAGGCCTAGAGAGAGGAGTGGGAGGGGGGTTTTCCGCAGAGGACGGCAACGAGGGGCTCCGTGTGGGGGAGGGCTGGCGTGCGCCTCGGCACAGCGGCGATGGCTTTGTCCGGTCCCACCGTTTCGGTGTTGGGAAAAGCAGCAGCCCCTACAGATCTAAGTAAGTTTGGAGGGTAAAGATGGAAGGAGAAATGCAAGGTCAGCTCCTCGTCACCGTTGTTATTCTTTACCTACTTGTGTGAGAGAGAGAGAGAGAGCTGCCATCCGCCCATGTGTTCCTCAAATACCCGCAACCACTAGGGCTGGGCTGGGGGTGGAGGCAGGAGCCAGGAGCGCAGTCCAGGTCTCCCGCACTACTTCAGGCATCACCACTGCCTCCAGGGCCTGCCTTGGTGGGAAATCAAGCCCAGAGCTGCGCTGATCCGAAGCCAGGAGCCAGGAGCTTCTTCCGGGTCTCCCACAAGGGTGCAGGAGCCCAAGCACTTGGGCCATCTTCTACTGCTTTCCCAGGTGGTAGCAGAGAGCTGGATTGGAAGTGGAGCAGCTGAGACTCGAACCAGCACCCCTGAGGGATGCCGGCACTGCAGGTGGCAGGTGGCTTTACCAGCTATGCCACAGCACTGGCCCCTTGTCCATTATTTTCAAGACAACAGAACAATTGATGATCAGGAACTCACTATAATAGCTCGGGCTGTTTCCAAGGCCAAAGAAGCTTTTTAAATACCTCTGCTTGCTGCACGCACAATTTACTGAAAGAACAGAAAGATGACAAGTGCCCCAACCCGTGCGGATCCAAGTAGGCAGGGAAGGAAATGTCATGAACTGAGCAGGGTGAGTTTATCTAGCCTGTCTTGTCAAATCGCTCTAATTGGTTTTCCTTAAGTAAAGTCACGGTTTCATGTGTCACAAGAAGCATTTGAATCCCTTTTGAAATCAGTGCTTGCCATAATGTTTGCTGTTTCATGGGATTTGGAGCGTAACTTTAATACTTATTATAGGAATGTAAGATGACTTTCATCTTGCTTTTATATAGAGTTTATTGTTGGTTGTAATTTATATGATGCAAAATTCATGATAGAAAATCCAGACACCAATTCCCATTCCTATAAGAAAATATGAGCTGTTTCATAATTATCTACTTTAGAAAGTGATTTCTCGGGCTATGTAGGAATAAAAAGTACAATCTATAAAGATTTGTCCTTTACTGAAAGTCTGATTTCTTAAAGGGCTCGCATGTTTTCATTTGAACAGGTACATTTTTAAAAGGGTGCACTTGACAAAGCCACTCATGATTTAAACTCTCGGGGATCTGCATGGTGTTTCCCATCTCCTGGATTCAGGCAGCGCTGTGAACCCAGAATCCCTTCTGGGGTGAGATGAGACCTTGTTCATTTGCACCTGCGTAGTGGGCGTCCACTGTGTAGGAGCCTTTTGCGTTGGGTGCTCAAATTGTGGAGTTGGGGATGCGCTAAAGGGTGCCTGACCTGCCATCTGTGACCCTGCGACAGGGACCCCTTCTGACCCAGGCCCTGCCCAGGGATCAGAGGCCCCCACGGAGAAAGCGAAACCCAGGCGACTCCATTCGTCTCTGCCGGTGTAGAGGACGTGGTTAGGGAAGGGGGTCCCTCAGGGGTCTGGGACACAGCCTCAGCACCACGGAGCAGCGTCTTCCGCATCCCCACGAAGGGCTCCCAGCAGCCTCCGAAGCCCAGGGACCTCCTGCCCAGGGCACAGAAAGCGCCAAGTCATCATCTTACTGTGGCTTTGGCCAAGGCCCTTAGTCGTCTGACCAGAGCCGTGGGCAGTGAGCCAAGCCCCCGGCAGAGGTCCCTCTGGATAGCCTGACTGCAAATGGCCCAAGAGAGTTACCACCACAGAGAAGGTCCCTGCTACCCGCTCCCCCTGCCGCAGTGGGCACCGTGGACGCCACAGCTATGTGCAAGGCTGTGCGTCTCCCATGGAGTGAAATGAGACCCCCCCAGCTGACCCTCAGGGCCCTCCCGCTTCCACATGAAGGCTGCTGCAGCCAGCCCCCCACCCTGGCCTGCAAGGGCACTTCCTCCTGAGGGTGCCCTGGGCTGGACCGCACCTTCTGCTCCTCTGCCGTGAGCCCTCGCTTTCTAAACGTGGTCCTGGGCCTGCCCCCTAGCTTGGCAGAGGGCCTGGGTCTTGGCCACCTGTAGAGCCTCTGGGCAGTGTGGCAATGCCTTTGCCACCTGCAGCCTTGCCTGGAGATGGCCTTGATAATGGTCTGAAGACCATGGTCATGGATGGCACTGGTGACAAACCCGCTGACCTGCAGAGCCTGCTGGGTCTGCCAAGACACGCTTCCCTGCCGTCTTGTCCATTCCTTCTTTCCCTCTGGGACGTTAGAGCCCCTCGTCCAGGGAGGATGTGGCTTTGAGTTGTTAGCAGAGTTTAACACTGATCCTGTGAGTGTCTTACTGAGCACCCGCCCGTTGCCAGCAGGCACTGCTGGAGCTGCGGAGCTGGTGAGAGGGAGCTGGCGTGAGGCTCACGTTAGCCGAACCCTAAGTCCATTTGTTCTCCATGCAGTATCTTCACCTAAAAAAACCGCCATGCCAGGGCAGCACTTTGGCATAGTGGGCTAAGCTACAACCTACAATGCCAGCATCCCATATGGGTGCTTCTTCCAGTCCTGGCTGCTCCACTTTCTATCCAGCTCCTTGCTAATGTGCCTGGGAAAGCAGCGGAAGATGGCCCAAGCGCTTGGGCCCCAGCCCCAACTGTTGCAGCCATTTGGGGAGTGAACCAGAGGATGGAAGACCTCTCTCCTCTCCCCACTTCCCCATCCGTAACTGCCTTTCAAATGAATAAAATAAATCTTTGAGAAAAAATTGCTATCCCAAAAGCAATCCCTGGAGTCCCTCTGACGCTGGCAGTCTGTTCATATTCCCATTTCACAGATGAGTAAACTGAGGTTCACACAGCTGAAGTGACTCTACCAAGTGGCACAGCTGAGATGGGAGTTGGCTGTCTCAGGTTCCCTGAGCCCAGGTGTTCCCTGTACCTGTCCCTTCCCTCTCCCACCCGTCCCTTCTTTCTGTCTGCCCAGTGATACTCTCAACATCGTGGCGTCAGATCACCGGCCGTTCACCACGAAGCAGAAGGCCATGGGCAAGGAGGACTTCACCAAGATCCCGCACGGAGTGAGCGGCGTGCAGGACCGTATGAGCGTCGTGTGGGAGAGAGGCGTGGTACGTCCCCGGGCCCTCCTCTCCCTAAGCCCCTCTATGCTTCTGTTGTGAAGAAGGCCCTTGGGAGAGCAGGTTCCTCCAAGGATCTCTTACCCCCGATGAGAAAGGTATTCGCCCAGTTATGGGAAAATACAGAAAAGTGTAAGAAATCATTCCCCACGAGGCGGGTGCTGTGGGCTGTGGCATGGGGGTAAAGCTGCCACCTGCAGTGCCAGGCATCCCATATGGGCTCCATTTCTGATCCAGCTCCCTGCTAATGCGCCTGGGAAAGCAGTGGAAGCTGGCCCAAGTGCTGGTGCCCCTGCACCCATGTGGAAGACCCAGAAGCAGCTCTGGGCTCCTGTCCTCAGACTGGCCCAGCTCTGGCCGTTGTGGCCATTTGGGGAGTGAACCAACAGATGGATGACCTTTCTCTGCCTTTCAAATAAATAAATAAATCCTTTAAAAAAAAGAAAGAAAGAAGACAGTCCCCAAAACTCCATGCCTAGAAATTATGCTATTAACATTCTGATGAATTTCCTTCTAGTTCTGGGATGCTCTATATGTTATTTTAATAACTGGGTTCAATTTTTCCTTTTTTGCCTTTAAGTATCAGTATATTTTGAGTGTCTTCATATGTCAGTAAAAATTCTTTTTAAGTATATTTATTTGCTGTCCATTTTTTAAATTATTTATCTATTTTTACTTATTTGAAAGGCAAAGAGACAAAGATAGACAAAAATCTTCCAACTGCTGGTTCATTCCCCAAATACCTGCCACAGCCAGGGTTGGGTCAGGCTGAAGCCAGGAGTCCAGAACGCAATCTGGAGCCCCCACGCAGGGGGAGGGGCCCAAGTCCTTGGGCCGTGGCCTGCTGTCTCAGGGTGCCCATTAGCAGCAGCTGGAATTGGAAGCAGAGCTGGGACTGGAACCCAAGCACTCTGGTGTGGAACATGGGCATCCCAAGCGCTGTGTTAACCACCGTGCCAAACCCAGCCCGCAGATTCTTCACAATCCTCGTGATGGCTGAATCGCATTTCCTCCAGGGCAGAAGTAAAGCGCCTCCCTTTATTTAATCCTTCCTAGTGCCGGGAGCTCTGGGCTCTTTCATTTTCGCTCTTAGAAATGATGCTGTGGGGACCCCCTTGCTCCTGAGTCTCTCAACAGCATTTTCCGCACTCCCTTCGCGTGGGTTCCTGGAAGTGGATTTCTAGGCCACGATGTAAGAAAGTGTTTTTAAGGCTGTTGATAAATTTTGCCTAATTGCATTTCAAAAAAGATAGGGGCTGGGGCTTCATTTGAATACCACCTGTTCTGCGCGTGAGGAGTGAGTATTTTCAGTCTTGATCTATCACGGATTGGATTCCGCACAGAGCTCTAAAGTGCTGGAGACAAAGCCAGCAGCTTGGGAGGTCCCCGGTGTCCTCGCGGCTTGTGGGGGGCAGGGGCGGGGAGAGGGGAATGCTATCCCGGAGCATGGGAAACGCTGCTTCCTCGCCTGGTTTCCAAGGTCTCAGTGACCACAGCCAACCACGGCCCAGAAATACTAAATGGAAAGTTCCACGAATGAACAACTCGGGGGGGTTAAGTACCTTTTATTGCAGTACGTTGTGTGTTAGTTATTGATGCTCTCTTCCCGGACCTAATTTCTAAGTCAGACTTTATCATAGGTGTGGGGGGGGGGGGGGGAACAGCACACGGATATGGTTGTCCTTGGGACGTGTCGGGGGTGGGTTCCAGGACCCTCCTCAGGTGCCAGAATCGGCGGATGCTCAGGGCCCTTCTAAATAATGGGGGTTTGTCTTCCCTTATGCTAGATTACTTATAATTCCTGGTACAATGTACCAGATAGTGGCTATTTTTAGAGAATAATGATAGGCAAAAGAAGTCTGTCTGTGTGCGGGCAGACCTAGTTTTTTCCGGATATTTTTGATGCAGAACCTGCAGATAGAGGGGGCTGGCCCCATGGAGCTCAGTCCCCACCTCAACTCCTGGCCCCCACTGGAGGTCTTGGAACGGGACCCCCACACCCAAGGGGAGATGACAGGATGACCCTTTGCACACACACGGGAGCCCCTGGCTCGTCCATACCGGGCGCTGTTGCCTGGGGAAGGAGAAGGGTGGGAGTGAGCTCACGGCACTGAGGCAGCAGCTGGCACCCACAGCATGGTCTCCTTAGGGCTGCTGTTCTGAGCAAGGGAGCTGGAAGGTCACAGGTCAGGGTCACAGGTTGCAGAGTTCAGCCTAGCAGTTAACTGGCCAGCATCTGACACTGGAGCACTGGGTTTGCTTCCCGGCTCTGGCTCCTAACTCTAGCTTTCTGCCAATGCACACACCTGGAGGCAGAGTCGATGGCTCAGGTCCCTGCCACCCCCATGAGAGACCTGGATGGAGCTCCTGGTTCCCAGCTTTGGCCCCAGCCTGCCCCTCCCCCGTTGTCTATCTGTCTCTCTCACATAAGCAAAAAGATGATTAAAATAACAAAAGAGGACAAGGGATTTGAGGCACCACCACCACCACCCCGTACCTACCTGGCTGACCTCTCACTTCTGCAATGTTTCAGGTTGGAGGAAAAATGGATGAGAACCGTTTTGTGGCCGTCACCAGTTCCAACGCGGCTAAGATTCTCAACCTGTATCCCCGCAAGGGCCGCATCATCCCTGGCGCCGACGCCGACGTGGTGGTGTGGGACCCGGAAGCCACGAAGTAAACTCTGCCGCTGGGCGCTAGCGCTAGAGGGCCTGGGGGTGCTAAGGGGACTTGTGTTGCCCAGCGCCCAAAGCCTGCACTCCTTGCCCTTCTTGTAGCCGGGAGAAAGAGGACCCCAGCTTCTCCCGCTGTCCTCACGTGGGCCTGCCTTTGTGGGACCCCCGTGGCCAGAGTCTTGGCCTCCTCCTCCTCCAGGGACACAGTCTGATTGGACCAGGGCCACCCATATATCCTCATTTGCCTCAGTTACCCTCAAAGTGCGCTGTCCCCGAATACGATCACGTTCTGAGGTTCTGGTGTTAAGACCTCAACCCGTGAATCTTGGCGGCTCACTAGGGGAACCCTTGGGGATCGTCCCGTCCTGTCCAGCGGTCACAGCCATTTTCTTTCTCAGAGCTTCCTCTCCCACCGTTGCCTCCCCCACCAGGACCATCTCGGCCAGCACCCAGGTGCAGGGGGGAGACTTCAACCTGTACGAGAACATGCGCTGTCACGGCGTGCCCCTGGTCACCATCAGCCGGGGCCGTGTCGTCTACGAGAACGGCGTCTTCATGTGCGCCGAGGGCACCGGCAAGTTCTGCCCGCTGAGGTCCTTCCCAGACACAGTCTACAAGAAGCTGGTCCAGAGAGAGAAGGTAAGGGGGGGGGGGGGGGGGGCGGGGAGGCGCACCTGCCGGCACTGGCCCGCCCTGCTTTCCCACCCACTCTTCTTGCCTTCCGTCCAGCACTGAGCAAGGCACATGCTAGAGGTGGCACGTGCTGGCTTCCCTGTCCCTTCTCTGAATACCAGATAGGGCTTCAAACGACCAGGCAGACAGAGTCCCGGGTTCTTTGAGGCCCAAGATGGCAATGTGTGCCCACTGGTATGTGCGCACAGGAGCCCCCACCCTGGGGTGGGGGGGGCTGCTATTGCCTGGCTCCCTCCCGCGCTCTTGAGGAAGTCAGTGGGGGTAGAACTGGTATTTGGGAAGCCGTTTTGTCGAAAGTCCAAGGGTAAGCAGGCGTTTTAACACCAAAAGATCAAGGCCACCAGAGTGGACATTGAGGGCCAACGAGTTGTCACTGCCCAGGATGCCAGCATCCTGCACCGAGCGCCAGTTCCAGTCCCGAATACTCCACTTCTGATCCATCTCCCTTACTCATGTGTCTAAGAGGCAGCAGACGATGGCTCAAGTACTTGAGTCCCTGCCACCCACGTGGGAGACCCATGGCCAAGCCCCAGCTTGTGCAGGCATCTGGGGAGGTGAACTAGCAAGTGGGAGTTGTCTCCCCCCATCCCCTCTCCCTGTTACTCTGCCCTCCAGATCAATAAATCTTAAAAAAAAAAAAAAAAAAAAAAAAAAAAGAAAGAAAGAAAGAAAGAAAGGAAGAAAGATCAAGGCTGCTGCTCTGTCTCCCCGCGGGAGGGCCTAGTTTCAGTCACCGAGGCCCCTTCTCTCCCAGAAGCCAACAAATGAAGACATGTCAAGCCAGACCTGCCGTGGGAGCAGGGAGCGGGCTTGGGCTTCCAGAAAACAATGTTAAATCCCAATGCAGATTTGTTCCCTCCAGGGGGACAGGAGGCTCCGTGCCCTGCTCCCAGAATGCACCTGGAAGGGCGGTGGCTTCAGGTACAGAGGGTGCTACCGTGTGCACACGTGGGATTCAGCAGTGTAGCCGAGGAGGCAGGGCCACGGGAAGCTCCCGCCATTGCTGGAAGGGACAGGATGCGGTGCAGCCGCGCGGAAGGCGGTTTGGCAGCTACCCACAGTTAAATAGGGAGCTGCTGTATGCTGGCGGCTGTACTCGGGTGTGTCCAGGAGAGGCGGGACGTGTGTGTCCACACGAAAGTGCTGTTCACTGAGGCCCACAGTGGAAGCCTGCCTACCCCGGGAGTGATGTATCTGTCCTTTTGGGCAGCAGCTTCTTTCCTCCAACTTGACCTTGGGACTGTAGAAGAGCTGCCAACTCCTGGTGTGCTTTATTTTTCTTCTTCTTAATTTTTAAGAAATTGCTGTTTATTTGAGAGGGAGGGGGAGAGAGAGAGAGAGATCCCCATCTGCTTGTTGGTTCCTCAAAAGCCTGCAACAGCCTAGACCAAGCCAGAGCCAGGAACCCAGTCCAGGTCTCCCACGTGGGCGGCAGGGACCCAAGTACTTGAGCCAGCATCATTGCCCCCGGGGTCTGGAGCCAGAGCCAGACCGGGGTGGAACCTACGTACTGCAACGTGTGACACAGGTGTCTTAGCCACTAGATCACAGGCTGCCCCCAAGGGGCGCGTGCCTAGTCTCCACCTGCTCAGCGGTAGGGATGTGAGGGCCGGTGACCCGCTCAGACCCAGTCTGAGCACCTGCCCGGGACTTGGCTAATGAAGCCGAGGCAGAAAGCAGTTGTGGTGCAGAAGCCGCAGCCTGCCCCCATGGAGAAAGCTGCGAAGAAGGACTCATTGCTCAAAGCTCTAGGAGGAAGGGGGTCTCTGAAGATGGGGCTATTCCTGCTAACAGACACAGAAAGTTAGGCTATGGCCGGTGTCGTGGCTCACTAGGCTAATCCTCCACCTAGCGGCGCCGGCACACCAGGTTCTAGTCCCAGTCGGGGCGCTGGATTCTGTCCCAGTTGCCCCTCTTCCAGGCCAGCTCTCTGCTGTGGCCAGGGAGTGCAGTGAGGATGGCCCAAGTGCTTGGGCCCTGCACCCCATGGGAGACCAGGAGAAGCACCTGGCTCCTGCCATCGGATCAGCGCGGTGCGCCAGCCGCAGTGCACCGGCCGCAGTGGCCATTGGAGGGTGAACCAATGGCAAAGGAAGACCTTTCTCTCTGTCTCTCTCTCTCACTGTCCACTCTGCCTGCCAAAAAATAAATTAGAAAAAAAAAAGGCCAAAGATGGCAGCGAGAACAAGAAGCAGCTTTTGGGAAAAGGCTGCCTAATCCTTGGGCTTATCCTGGGGGACTCTGGTGTCAGCGGTGGCCTATTTAGCCTCTGTCAGACCACAGGCAAAGGCTTCGTGTGATAGGTGCCCCAGAGCCACAAGAAAACTCCCCAGGCCCTGGGCTGGAGCAGTCGGCAGTCCCCTGGGTCCCGTGGGGGAGCAGGCAGTGGGCCGGCGTCTCTCCCCTCTGCCTCTCTCCCCATCCTCTGCAGACCCTGAAGATGAAGGGAGTGGACCGCACTCCCTACCTGGGGGACGTCGCCGTTGTCGTGCACACGGGGAAAAAGGAGATGGGCACGCCGCTGGCCGACACGCCCACGCGGCCCGTCACCCGGCACGGGGGCATGCGGGACCTCCACGAGTCCAGCTTCAGCCTCTCGGGTAAGAGCCGGGCGCACCGCTGATTGCTGGTTTCTTGCCTTATCCTGTCCCCGGGTGGGCCCCTGGCCCCAGGCATGTGCGGAATCCCTGGGTTCTGCCCCCGAGACCCAGCACGCGGAGTGGGGGGCCACATTTGGAGCTGGGGGATGCCTGCTCCCTCGGACTGTTGGGGGGGGACTGTGGCCGCCACTTGAAAAGGATCCGGGGGGCCGGGGCTCGCGGAGCGCAGGGGGAGACCGCGCAGACGCGAGAGGAGCACGGCGCGCACCCCCCCTCTCACCTCCGCACTGCCTTTCCTGCAGGTTCTCAGATCGACGACCACGTTCCAAAGCGAGCCTCGGCCCGGATCCTCGCGCCCCCTGGCGGCAGGTCAAGCGGCATTTGGTAAAGGCACTGACCGGCGCCCCCACCGCGGGGCTGCACCGCTGCCACCAGCCCGCGCACCTCCCGGCCGCAGCTGCAGGGGGCGGGAGAGGCTGGGCTGGGCGGCGCACCACCGGCGGGGGCCCCGGGACCCGGGGAGCCCTCCCCAAGCCTGAACGTGATTCACTGTGCTTCGAGCCAACCCTAACAGGCACTTTGAGCTGTTCTGCTGTGGTCCTGTCCTGCCTCGGCCCCGGCGGGCTGTTCTGGGCCCAGAAAGCCCACACTATGCACGAGCCCAGGCCCAGCCCCTCCTCTCACACCTGCCTCCACCTGCTGGCCCTGGGAAGGCCGACTTTGGTGCCCTGCCCCCTGGCTGGCGGCCAGCTGTCCGGAGCACTTTAGCAGATGTGTATTAAAAGGCCTCCCTCCCCCACCCCGCCCCTTCCCAAGTCAGACAGACAGGTGTCAGCTTCCCCGGCTCTCCTGCCTCCCCACCCCCAACCCCCCCACCCCCACCCCCGGCCCTGTGCGGGTGTGGTTGGGACACCCTGTGCCCTTTGCCAGTTTCTTCTGCCTCCTGCCTGCGCCCGCTGGGAGTCACGGGCCCAGAAGTGAGGCGGGCGGGGCGTGGGGCTGGTGCCAGGTGCGTGTAAATGATTTTGTTTTGCACGTTTGGTTTGCGCAGTGGTTTGGTTTGACTTGTTTGTGCATCCTGTGATAATAACGGTGCTTCGTGTCACTAGCATAGCATAGAAACAGGAGTAGCTGTGGTTCTTAGGAGATGCTGCACTCGACACCAACCAGACAGCACAGGCAGAGACAGCAAGACAGCGGGGGGCTGGCCACGCAGCCCCTCTTCTCCCCACCCGGGTGCCCAGGCTGCCAGAGGCCCCGGTCCAGGCCCCCTGCCCTCCCCTGCCCTCCTAGCCTGGGTTCCTGGGTTCTGGGAGGGGCCCTGGGTGCTGGCCCTGGGGACCTTCAGGCAGCAGGGTGGCCTCTCTCATCTCTGCCCATGATCACCCCCAGCACCAACCCCTGCCCCCCACACGTGCACAGCTTCCGGAAACTTCTCCCTGCCGCACAGAGGCCTCGCCGCTCCTCCTGTGTGATTGGCAGGAGGCCTCACGCCTGCTGAGAGAGGGGGAGCCGGAGGGGCTGGCCAGCTGCCAGGGAGGGAGACCCCAGAGCCCGGGACCTGGCGGTAGACCCCGCGAGACTGCACGGGTGCTGTGGTCCCCTGTGGTGGGCACCACGCCCGCGCCAGCTTGTGCCTCGTCTCCTCCCCTGTCCGGGTGGCCCCCCTCGGTGGGCCCCCCGCCTCCACAGCCCCACAGAGGTTCCCACTGAGACCCTGGCGGCTGGGTCGTCTGGGCCGGAACCTGGCCACCTCGTCCCGGTCAGGCCTGGGCTCCCCCTTGGGGAAGTGACTTGGTGGTGCACACCTGCTTGTGCGAGGCCCCTGGATGTGTTCAGGTTCACGGTCTTAACCCTGCAGTTTCCCACAGTGCTTTTCACATCTTCAGAGCACTTCCACGTCGGCATCCTCCTTTGCTCCCCACAACAGTGGAACACATATTATTCTCCCCATTTTAAAGATGAGGAAACTGAGGCCCAGAAGGACTCAAGGAGTGTCCACGGACACCCATATGACCTTGGCTGTCTACCCCAGCTGTGGGGAGGAGGCCTGGGGGGAGGTATCTTGCAGAGCCCACCTAAGCATGTAACCAACTCCCCGGGATGCATCCGCTTTGTTTTGCACAGGTAGATATAGATTTTTCTCATCCCCATTACAAAAACATGAATGCATAGTCTCTGTTTGAGCGAGAACCAGTCTGATGGTGGAGGCTGGCCGTGTGGTGTGAGCTGAGTCTGAAGGCGGAGGCTCACCATGTGGTGTGAGCTGAGTCACGTCCCTCATGCCAGGGCTCATAGGACAGGGATGGTAGCCAGGGAACAGAGGCAGGGAGGGGACTCGTGGAGAGACGCAGCCCTGGGGACAGAAGGTAGGGCCTGGGAGAGCCACTGTGGATAAGGGTGGGTAAGACCGCGACGCTCTCCCCTGGCCCAGTGCCCGTCATCTTCAGCCCTTTCGGCCCTTGCTGGGTCATGGGCCTTGGGCAGATGCCAAAGAGCCTGGCAGTGCTGGTGGCCAGCTGGGCAGCGCGTCCGTGCCTGGGCCAGGAAAGCTTTATGTTCTCTGAGTGCCTCCGCCTGAGATGTGTGAGCCGTGGTGCTGGGAGACCACGCCTGGGGTGGCCCACTGTGGGCCTTCCTCCCTTCATCCCCCACCCCCGCACCCGTCCTCACGTAGACTCTGCCCCTGCCCAGGAGCTTGGAAGATGGACATGAGGAAGTTCAAGGAGCCAATGAGTGGTCAGCACCTCCCCCTGCTCCTGGCCCCGTGCAGAGCCCCTGCCCGGCCGCAGCCCCGCTGGCTCCCAGTCGGAACGCGAGGGTCTCTGGTTGCACTGAATGCAGCTCTCAAACCGGTCTTGTACTTGCTGAATAAATACTGTTGTTCTTGCCTTAGCCACTCTCTAGGTTTGTGGGGTGAAGTTACCAGAAAAAAAATTGTGCTCCCGTGTGTGTGCGTGTGCGTGCGTGTGTGTAGTGCTAGGAGCCCACAGTAGGTCTCTGTCAAGCCAATGCCATGGGAGGGCTTTTCCGATATGACCCAGGAGCCACAGAACCACACAGAAACCCACACCCGCTCCGGCTGCTGCGGCGCCAGGTGCAGCCTGGGCCGGGGGCGGAGCCTCTGACAGCCCAGCACCCAGGCGACTTCCTCACTCCCCTGTAAGTGTCACGGTGCTAAGACTGTGTCAAGCCCAAGACGACACGTGGTCCTGTGCTTTGGCCACCCGTTTGAGGCAAAAACAAAACAACCCGGCCTGTTGTGTTCTGGTGCAGGTTTGTATTAAACTGTAGCTTCTTCTCACTTGGTCTCCGTGGTGTTTCTTCAAAGCGGAGCGAGTCTGGCGGGTGGTGACGCGGGCCTTGCTAAGACATCTGTCACTACGCCTGTCTGGTGGCAGCTCACCGGGAGGCCTGGGCGCTGCCCTTGAGAACATTTTTTTTTTTAATTTGACTATGCCAACATTTTGGTTTAAAAACATCTGTTTTCTCATTAAGAGAGAATTCGTGAATTAAAAGAGAATAATGAGAATTTTGTTTAAAATGTAACGCAGAAACAATGGGCTGGCACTGTAGCGTAGTGAAAATACAGAAACAAAAGGATATTATGTAGGGATGAGTTTGAGAAAAGATGAGCCAAAACTGGTATTCAGATTCAGTGTCATCACAACCAAAATTCTAGCAATATTTTTATAAAAATTCACAAGCTAATTCTAAAATGTTTTCGCAAATACAATAAAGGAGGCAAAATAAAGACATGCATGATAAGCGAAAACCGAACATTGTAAGAAATGCTAAAGGAAGCTCTTCAGGCTCAAAGCAAGTGCCCTGCACAGTCATTGAAATCTACACACACAAGAAAGAAACAAGAGCATCAATAAAGTAACCTTGTAATTCCAAAATGCAGGATCATTTACGCTTCTGCATTCTTCCCATAGCAGACTTCGATGGCCATTGTGTAGAATTCTATGTGCATGGACCACTGGAGCTATACCATGTAGAAATAGAATTCATTTGCCAAGAATGGCACAAGGTGCTGGATGGGAGAGAAGTGATACTGGGCTAGGGAAGTACCCTGGATGATGGTTCAGAACCACAGAAACAAGAGAACCGGTAATGACGAATAAAGTGTTGCAACAAGAGCTACAGGCCAGTGCCGCGGCTCACTAGGCTAATCCTCTGCCTGCAGCGCCAGCACCCCGGGTTCTAGTCCCGGTTGGGGCGCCAGATTCTGTCCCAGTTGCTCCTCTTCCAGGCCAGCTCTCTGCTGTGGCCCAGGAAGGCAGTGGAGGATGGCCCAAGTACTTGGGCCCTATACCCCATGGGAGACCAGGTGAAGCACCTGGCTCCTGGCTTCAGATTGGCGTGGCGCGCCGGCTGTAGCAGCCATTTGGGGGGTGAACCAATGAAAGGAAGACCTTTCTCTCTGTCTGTCTCACTGTCTAACTCTGCCTGTCAACAACAACAAAAAAACAAGAGCCGCAAGCATACTCTGCTGTCTTCTCTCCACCTTTATGAAGCCGTAAACTTACACAAGGCATTACTATCACAAGGCAGGCTTTGCTGCACTTGCACATGTACTCTGTGTAGCAACTCCTTAAAGAGGAAGGGGCTAGGGAGATACAGGAATGTTTCTGCATCTCCATGAAATTTAGTATAAATCTGAAGCTGGCTCTGATACAATGTTGATGGTAAGGCCTAGAGCAACCACTAATGAAATAATAACATAGAGTGGAAAATCACTAACGAACTCAACTGCTACATTAAAAATACACATTTAATGTAAAGTAAAGCAGTCAAAGGAGAATAGGGGAATAAAAAAGATAGGCCCATTGAGAACAAAAAACAAAGCAAATGTAAGTTGAACTGCAGGTTAAACCATCTAACCAAAAGGCAGAGATTACTAGAATGGACTTAAGAAGACCTAACTGTGGCTTAGTGGGTAAAGCTGCCGCCTGAAGTGCCGGCATCTCATATGGGCACTGGTTCAAGTCCTGGCTGCTCCACTTCCCATCCAGCTCTCTGCTATGGCCTGGGAAAGCAGTAGAGGATGGCCCAAGTCCTTGGGCCTTTTCACGCTGTGGGAGACCCAGAAGAGGCTCCTGGTTTCAAATCGGCCCAGCTCCAGACATTGCAGCCACCTGGGGAGTGAACCAGTGGATGGAAGATCTTGATCCATCTCTCTCTCTCTCTCTCTCTCTGAACTCTACCTTCCAAATAAATAAATAAATCTTTTTAAAAAAATAATCCAACTATATGCTATCTCTAAGAGACAGGTTTTAGATTAAAAATACAGATTGAAAGTGCAATAAAATATTCTATAGATTTAAAAAGACAGAAATAATACGACGTATATTCTCCAGTGACAACAGAATGAAGTGAGACATTAATAAGAAGGGAAAAAATGAGAAGTTCACATACACCAAAGCTTATGGGATATAGTGAAAGTAGAGCTAAAAGGAAAATTTATAGTTATAAAAGCATATGTTAAAAAAGAGCTCAAATTTATATTCTGACCTTCTAAAGACACTAGACAAATGAGCAATTCACAGGCCTTTAGCTAGATTGACCAAGAAACCATGGGAAGATTCAAATCACTAAAATCAGAAATTAAAAAACAGACATTACTACTGACCTTCCAGAAATAATCACAGAGGAATACAATGATAAACCAACATGAATCCTGCAGCATAAAAGAGAATTAGACATAATGACCACGTAGGACTTATCCCGGGAATCCAAGGTTGGCTTAACACTTGAAAATCAATAGACTGGGCCGGCGCCGCGGCTCAATAGGCTAATCCTCCACCTTGCGGCGCCGACACACCGGGTTCTAGTCCCGGTCAGGGCGCCGGATTCTGTCCCGGTTGCCCCTCTTCCAGGCCAGCTCTCTGCTATGGCCAGGGAGTGCAGTGGAGGATGGCCCAGGTGCTTGGGCCCTGCACCCCATGGGAGACCAGGAAAAGCACCTGGATCCTGGCTCCTGCCATCGGATCAGCACGGTGCGCCGGCTGCAGTGGCGGCCATTGGAGGGTGAACCAATGGCAAAGGAAGACCTTTCTCTCTGTCTCTCTCTCTCTCACTGTCCACTCTGCCTGTCAAAAAAAAAAAAAAAAAAAAAAAAAAAAAAGAAAATCAATAGACTAAGAAATAGAAACCACAGCATCTTCTCAACAAATGCAGAAAAAACAATTGAAACTATCCAATGCCACTTCCTTGTACAAAAGAAAGAAAACACTCAACACAGAAGTAGTGTTAGGTATGGAATAGCTTTGGGTTCTGGCCTCTCGTACCCCCAGAAAGGAGACGGAGACCGACCTCAACAGAGACAGATTGCTTTATTTGAAGCAGAGAGGTTGTCGACCGTCTCTTTTTTCCATCTCTCCTTTCCTGGGGTACGAAAGGCCAGAACCCTGAGCTATTCCATACTTAACAAATAGAGGCCGGCGCCGCGGCTCAATAGGCTAATCCTCCACCTAGCGGCGCTGGCACACCGGGTTCTAGTCCCGGTCGGGGCGCCAGATTCTGTCCCGGTTGTACCTCTTCCAGGCCAGCTCTCTGCTGTGGCCCAGGAAGGCAGTGGAGGATGGCCCAAGTGCTTGGGCCCTGCACCCGCATGGGAGACCAGGAGAAGCACCTGGCTCCTGCCATCGGATCAGCACGGTGAGGAGGTTATGGGGGCCGGCTGCCTGCCACGCTGGGATCCCATGTAAGTGCCAGCTCCAGTCCCCACTGCTCCATGTTCGATCAGCTCCCTGCTAACGTGGCTGGGAAAGCAGTGGAAGTGCTGGGCCCAAGTGCTGGGCCCCTGCTCCCACGCCAGAGAAGCTCCTGGCTCCTGGCTTCCGCCTGGCCCAGCCCTGACCTTCGTAGCCATTTGGGGAGTGAACCAGCAGATGGAAGATCTCTCCTACATGCTTTATTATTTAAAATAAATAGAATAAATTTTTTTAAAAAAAGCACTTGGGCAGGTGATGGGCTCAGTGGGCAGGAGCTTGGGGACTTCCCCAGCACAGCCACCACACCCTCACCCCATGGAGGCCGGGATAGAATCCCAACCAGCAGTTAGGTGACCAGCGGGGCCTCACAGAGCCTCCCCCAGCCCAGGTAAGGCTTCAGGTGCGCTGGCAGGTGAGGTCCCAGGAGTCTGTAGGAGCTGCACGTGCCCTGGCAGGGCCTCCAGGAGTCGGCTTCCGGCCTCACTTCCGTTTTGTCTTCCTGTTGATCTCTTCCTGATCAGACCTGGGAGCCGCCCCCTGAGCTGCTGGAGACAGAGATGGTGAGCATCACCAGGCAGGCTTGGAAGGCCATGGGTGCAGCAGGAGGCCTTGCCCTGACTGAGGAAGGGGTGGGGGTAGGGTAGGGTTTGGTGAGGGTGTGTGTGGGGGGGGCCCTCCCACCAGAGCACGACCCAGACAGAGGGAAAGGGGGAGAGGCCGTCATTCAACACCACCGACCACCACTGTGGACCGGTTCCCTGCGTGCTTCGCGGCTTCTTAATTTAAGGTGCAAGGGGGCTGAAATCCCCTGCATCTCTTTCCCGCGCGGGAACACGGCCTCGCTGTCTGGCTAGCCTCTCAGAAGGGAGACTGAAACTGTTGGGAGCCACCTTAAGCACAAGTCCTGATACACTCAGCAGATCAGATCAGGGCACTGCTCCTAAGGCCTGGGCTTCCGGCCTGGGGAAGGGGCAGGGAACCCCTGGGGAGGCAGAGGATTCTGGGACAGTGAAGCCCTGGCAGTAGCTCCCCTGGGAAAGTGCCTTCAGCTCCCCAGTGGCCAGAGCAGCAGCAACTTCAAACCGAAAATGCCAGGAAGGTGTGCTTTCCCTGGCCCCTCTCCCCTGCCATACCTGCGGGCTCCTCTCTGCTCTGCAAGTCCTGGCCACAGTACTACCCACAGGGCCCTCCAGAGGGCGCTTTAAGCTCACCAGTGACTACTTCTTTGGCTAAGGGTGCATCAGCCGCCTAACCTACCTGAACAACTGAGGCTCCAGGAAAGGCGGGTGTGTCCAGGTTGTCTTAGTCCCGCTCACAGAACCACCCAGGATCAGATCAACCCTGAGTGAGGGTCCATGGCAAACTCCCCCACCTGGAGCTCCCTGGGGACAAATGTCTCTTTGAAAGCCCATTTCAGAGTATAGTTGGAAAAGGTTGCCAGGTGGGGCAAATAAAAGCACAGGACGCCCAGCCAGACTGGATTTCATATAAAAATAATTTTTAGTATAAGTACGTCCCAAATAGTGTTTGTGAAATACTTATAAATATTTATTGTGTACCTGTAAGTCAAGTTGAAAGAAGGTGCCATGTTTTTATCTGACAATTCCAGTTGAGACTTGCTCAAGTGAGTTTTCTGCTTGCTGTTTAACCTGATTCATGGGACACCTACCTACCAGGCGTATTTCAGATGATACAAAAAAATGAACGAAGCTCCTGCATTTAGAAGTGAGTTTGGGAAACGCCAGGCTGACAGTACTGAGGGTACAAACAGTGTTGGAGGCGTGGGGTAGCGACAGTTCAGATTTGGGTGTTGGCTTTGCATTCAAGCCCCACTTCTGATGTTCAGCAAGTGATTACGCTCACTGAGCCCGTTTATTGGGAAAGGGGAAGTAACAACCTCAGAAGATGCAGAGAGGTCGCTGGGACGAGGGTGCGTCTCGCGCCTGCTGTAGCAGGAGCTGAGGGAATGCTAACATCTCCCATTATACATTAGAGATACTGTGAAGGCAGGCAGCTGGCACAGAGGCTAAGACAGTGCTTGGGAGGCCCCCATCCAATGCTGGAGAATCTGCATTTGAGTCCTGACTCCACTTCTAATTCCAGCTTCCTACTAATGCACACCCTGCAGGTGTGCAGGTGATGGCTCAAGTGCTTGGAACCCTGCCATCCATTTGAGAGACCCAGATGAAGTTCAAGGCTCCTGGCTTCAGCCCGGCCCAGCCCCAGCTATTGTGGGCATTTGAGGAGTGAACCAGTGAATGAGATCTATCTCTCTAATAAGTAAAATTAATTCATTTTTTTAGATTTAAGTGCTATGGTACCAGTTAGCCTTATTTGCTTTAAAAGAGTCTCTCCAAAGGATGTAACATTTCACTTTTAAAAACAATACCCAGGGGCAGGCACTGTGGCTTAGTAGGTTTGGCCTCCACCAATTGCACCGGCATCCTTTATGGATGCCAGTTCAAGTCCTGGCTGCTCCAGCTCCCTGCTTATGCACCTGGGAAAGCATTAGAGGATGGCCCAAGTCCTTGGGCCCCTGTGCCCACGTGGGAGACCCGGAAGAAGCTCCTGCCTCCCGGGTTCGGATTGGCCCAGCTCTGGCCATATTGCAGCCATTTGGAGAGTGAACCAGTGGATGAAAGATCTCTCTCTCTCTCTCTCTCTCTGCCTCTGAAATAAATAATTTTTTTTTTTTGTGGCATAGCTAGTAAAGCCTTCCCATATGGGTCCCAGTTCAATTCCCGGTTGCTCCACTTCCAATCCAGCTCTCTGCTACCACCTGAGAAAGCAGTAGTAGATGGCCCAGGTCCTTGAACCCCTGTACCCATGTGAGAAACGAGGAAGAAGCTCCTGGCTCCTGGATTCAGATCAGCCCAGCTCCACCAGCAGTTGCAGCCATCTGGGGAGTGAACCAGTAGATGAGAGATCTCTGTCTCTCTCTCTCCTCTCTCCTCTCTCCTCTCTCCTCTCTCTCCCCCTCTGCTTCTCTGTACCTCTGCCTTTCAAATAAATAAATCTTTAAAAAAAATCTTCAAAGTCTCAGTTTGATATGTGCCTCTAGATCAGGTGACAAGGCATAGCTGGAGTGTGGGGGTGGACAGTCAGATAAAGTCCCCAGTGAACACCCCTGAGAGTTTGGGTTATTATTAGCAATTACCATTTGGTGAGTATGGACAGCACACAGGGCATAGCTTGACATCTTTCATACATTTTCTCATTTAACCATCACAACCTCACATGAGGAAAACCAAGGCCAAGGTCACATAGGCTGGAACTCCAGGACCCAGGGCTTGTGGGATTCCAGCAGGGTGGAGGGCAGACGCACTCTCTAAATAAAAGCTCGTCCACTTCGAGGCATGTAATTTAAGTCCAGTCCGCAGCGAAATTACACATTGCCTACGTGGGTCCCTTGCAAATGTTTAGAACCACGTCAAGGTTTCCTGTGTTGTGCGAATCTGTCTGGGTTTAGCACCCTGTTCCCCTTCTAGCTTCCAATGAATAATGAACGTGGTTGGTAACAGTTACCAGCACAGCAGGGCCTCCCTGCATTTTGGGCACAGCCCAGCCAGGGCACCCCAGCAGAATCCAATCCAAACGCCAGTCCCACAGTGGCCAGAGCTAACCCCCTTCTCTGAGACTATCCTCTCAGGCACCCTGGGAAAAGCCCAGGAAGGTCACCTTGGCCGCCTGGCTGTTTTCGGTCCTGTGCAAGGTGCTTAGGATACAAAGGTGGATATTCAGGGTCTTTGAGCAGGAGACCCTCCCATGGGGACAGACGTGAACACACAGGAGCACCAGGCAGAGGGGACCTGACAAAGAAAGGGCCAGGGACCCATGGGAAAGGGTGGCCGGTCCTCCCGGGCAGGTGCACAGAGGTGAGCCTGCAGCCAGCCTGAGTTGGCCTGATGGACAGAACAGACGACCTCTTGACACACAGTATCGCCTTGTCGTGAGTATCCTGCGACTCTTGCATTCAGCTTCATCCAGTGTCTCTGTGGCTATCATCATAGAAGATGTTATTTCCCTGAATCTCCAAATAAAGCTTAAACCTGCGGAAGATGTCACTGTTCTATCTTTCCCCGTTTCCTTGACTCCTCTGAATCCAGCTGGAGGGTAGCCCTGGTGCTTGAGCGGGGGTGGAGGTGGGGCTGTATGTGAAAAGGTTTACCTCCTAGAAAGAACCCTCTGGCCAGGACCTTGAGGATGGACCAGAGGTTCAAAGAGAAGGTGGGTGGCCCTACAGTAACCCAGACAAGAGATGTCAGGGTGAAGGAGAGAGAGGGAGACAGGCCAGAGAGACATTTAAGAGGTGGAATCCGGGCTGGTGTTGGCACAGTGGGTAAAGCCACTGCCTATAGCACCAGCATCCCATGTGGGCGCCAGTTTGAGTCCTGGCTGCTCCACTCCTGACCTAGCTCCCTGCTAATGCACCTGGGAAAGCAGCAGAGGATGGCCCACATCCTTTGGCCCCTACACCCACATGGGAGACCCGGAAGAAGCTCCTGGCTGGAAGAGATCTATCTCTCTCTCTCTGTAATTCTACTTTTCAAATAAATAAATCTTTAAAAAAAAAAAAAGAGAGAGAGAGGTGAAATGAATGGAATTGGAAAACTGTCCTTGGGAGTTTGGAGAAAAGGGTGGGATAGGCTCACCTCCAGGGTTCTCAGTAAGAGGAGCTATAAGAAGGGCAAGTGGGGGGGGGGAGGTAAATAAGTTTAATCTGAGTGCGCTGACCTGGAGCTGCCTGTGGCTGGAGGGTATCTGGAGGACACTGATGTGCACAGGGGGACAAACTGGGAGAGCGGGTCAGGGCGGAGGTTCAGAATCAGAAATCACGAGAAAAAGTAGGCAAACTGGGTTTCATGAACAATTGAAAATTTTGTGCGTTGAAACACAGTATTAACAGAATAAAAAGCCCATAGTATGGGAGAAAATATTTACAAATCATATTTCTGATAAGGGATTAATATCCAGAGTATATGAAGAACCCTTAAAACACAACAATAATAACCAAATACCACCTGGTTCAAAAATGGGTGAACGATTTGAAAATACATTTACCCAAAGAAGACACACAAATGGCCAAAAGCTCACAAAAAGAGACACCTAAACTACAACAAAATACCACTTCACACCCATTAGGATGATACTACTTAAAAAAAAAAAAAAAAGCCCAAAATACCGAATGTCTGCGAGGAAGTGAAGGCACTGGAACCCTGTACATTGTCAATGGGAATGTGAAATGCTACAACTGCCACTGGGGCTCCTCAGAAAGCAAAAACTGGAATCCCAATGATCCAGCAGTTCTACTTCTGGGAGTTCTCATCTACCTCCAAGAATGTAAAGCAGGGCATCAAAGACGCGTTTGCACACGCAAGTTCATGGCAGCATTATTCACAGCAACCCACACATGGAAGTAGCCAAAATGTCCACTGATGATGAATGGCTAAGCAAATGTGGTTCATGCATACAACGGGATACTGTCCAGTCTTTCAAGTGAGTATTATTTAGTCTTAAAAGGAACAATATTTAGTCTTTAGCGGGA